GGACTTCCACCGGGTGAAGAGTGAGGAGCAAGAGGTGCTGAATGATTTGGGCTTCGTCACAGCGGAGGAAGTCATGGATGAGGAGACAACGGGTGACTCGGGAGATCAACGTTGCTTCCAAGTACCTCAACATGCTACTGGGTCTGGCGGTGACGGGCAGCAGCAAGTTCGGTTGAGACCAATGCGAATGACTACTGACGTCAACGTCCTGGCAGCGTACTTGGAAGGGCATGAGGTTGAGCCGTTCACGGTGAATTGGCGAATGGACTCATTGCCGACGAAAAGGCAAGTGTTCCAGGCTGCTAGGAAGGAGGATCTGGCCTATCAGTTCTGGAAGCAAAAGGATCGCTTGGAGCTCATCTTGTCGGAGGATGCTGAGCCGGTTCTGGAGAGGAGAGTCACCGAGCAGGTGATTGGATCACCTCGGTATCGGTTGATCTACATGGCGACGGTCACCATGGTGTGGAATGGCCCCGGTGGTACTTCGGCAATCTTTGGGTACTATGTGGAGTCTAGGCGAGACACTAAGTATGTCTATGTGAGCTGGGTTGAGGCCACGCGGGAGGAGTACATCCACGAGAGCGAGATGACTCGAGCGTTGCAAGAACTGCCACCACGGGGGGCAGCTTCTACGGTTCCTGCAGGTCCAGCGAGAGCGGGAGCAATCATGTCCAACAATACCACCTTCACGGTGAATCCAAGGGAGAGGTCTAGATCGAGAGATCAGGAACCGAGAGATCCCAGCAGTTCGGTTCGCTTGAACAAGTTCACGGGACCGAATCCTCATGCCTTACCACTTCAGCCGGTGAATCGAAGAATGGAGCTGATCACCAGGTTTGTGAGGCTTCAAGAGGATGAGTACGAACGATGGGAAGCGGACGTTCACAGCGGGCAAGAGGTGATTGACGCCTTTCGTGGACAGTGGAGAGAGATTTTGCCCGTGGATGACACCGTAGATGAGGTGGTGCCAATGTTGGTGTACAACAGCATGGAAGATTGGGAGACTGAGCCTGAGGTCTACATGGTCACGGAGGACGGATTCCGAAGGCATTTGGTCACCATCATGGATGTGCAGGAGTTTCCGGTGGTGGACCCCACGCCTGAGAACACGTTGGACTGGGAGGAGTTGGTGGTCGTCCAGGTGTACAACATGTTCCTTGGAAGGGTGGAGTATCTCCTGTACTGGGACCGAAGGGTGGTGGTGGAAGAGGCACCGTTGCCGGCGTTGCCATGGATGGGACGTAGGGACCCTCCTGGACAAGATGATCGTGAACCTCGCTTGGCACCAATGAGGGTGGAAACTGCGAGGGAGAACAAGCTCATCGTCGACGACATGATGTTGTTCGAAGAGGTTGAGTTCGAGGAGCTGGGCGAGCCAGAGGAATCCTGGATGGAGCCTATGCTTAGGAAGGCTACCTCTGAAGGCCTTTACACCCCAGGGATTGAAGCGTTGCTGAACGACTTGAAGGAGGACGAGGTGCTTCAGGTTGTGCACACCGTTGACCCGAAGGAGGCGAGCGAGGCGATTGAAAAGTGGAAAAAGCCTATGGCCAAGGAGGTCGACTCGATGGTGGGCATGAACGCTATCCACAAGATTTGGGGCGAAGATGCGAGACGTTCCGGGCTGATCCAAACTCAGTGGTGGTGCCGTCCAAACTCGTGTACACAGTGAAGCCTCCCACAAGGCCTGAGGAGGGGAAGTACCGACGTCGAGTGCGGGCGGTGGCTTGTGGAAACTTCGCCAATGAGGGCCTGGAGGTGGGTGATCTGTATGCGGCAGGAGCTACAATCGATGGAGTTCGGATTGTGGTCGCTGAAGCCAGTGCCAACAAGTGGGGCATTGGAACGGATGACGTGAAGAACGCCTTCTTGGCTGCACCACTACCAGCGGGTCGTGGGTATGCAATGGAGCCTCCCCGGGCAGCGATCAGAGCTGGCCTGGCCGAGGAGGGGGAGCTGTGGGTCGTGGACGCTGCAGTTTATGGTTTCAAAAAATCGCCAAAGTGGTGGACGGACCATCGCAACTCAAAGGCAAGACTTGCGAAGTGGAAGGACGATGATGGGAAGCCGGTGAAGTTGGAAGGCTGCTTGACGGACGTCAACCTCTACAAGGTCCTGAAGGAAGAGAAGCCTGGAACGTGGACTTTGACGGGCTTGGTGGTCTTCTATGTGGACGACGTCTTGGCGGCTGGGCCGGATTCCATCTTGCGAGGGTTCTTTGGATGGTTGGGCAGTCAATGGGAGACCAATGGCTGTGAGATGGTGGAACGAGGAAAACCACCTGTCCGGTTTCTGGGCCTGGAGATTAGCATGCTGGACGACGGGACCTACTGTGTGGGTCAGCAGGGCTACCTTCAGGAGTTGGTTCGAAGCCGGGAAGTCAAGTCCTTCAGCAAGCTGCCAATGGCGAGAGAAATCCCAGAGGGGAGTGCTACGGAGGAGCAGGATCCGAGCATGGTGAAAGAGGCACAGCAGCGGTGTGGAGAGCTGTTGTGGGCTTCCCAACGTGGGCAGCCGGATTTGGCATTCCCAATGGCAGTGATGTCCTCGTTGGTCACGAGAAATGCAAGGGAGGCTGTGAAGATGGGCAAAAAGATGGTGGCCTATCTCAACAGCACCATCGACAAGAAGTTCTTCTTGCCGGGCCCGGACCACGAGCATGCCAACGACTTGGTCCTGTTTACAGATGCCAGCTTTGCACCCACTGCTGCTCAAAGTTACTCAGGGGCTGTTGTCTTTTGGAGGGGTCATCCGATCCTTTGGAAGGCTTCGAAGCAATCACTGACCGCTTTGTCGAGTGCCGAGGCGGAGGTGATCGCAGTGTCCGACGGAGTGGCTTTGCTTCGAGCGGTGAGGTCAGCGTTGGAAGACTTGGGGTTGAAGCCGGCACGGACCATCGTGAAGGTGGATTCCACAGCTGCGATTGGAGTTCTGACTGGGGAGGGATCGTGGAGGACGAGACACCTCAAACTCCGACATCACTGGATCCGGGAGATGATTGCCACGGGCCAGATCGAGTTGGAGCACCAGCCAGGACAGGGACAGCTCGCAGATGTTTTGACAAAACAAGTGCCCCAGGCGAGGCTTCAGGAGGTCTTCGACGAGTGGAGTTTGCGAGATGGGCCCCCTGAGCTTCGTGTACTACGTGGACAGAAGCAGGTCAAGTTCGAAACCACGGCAGTCGACAGCAGTCTTGAAGCAGCAGCAGTCAACAGCAGTCGTGAACCCGCAGCAGCAGTCAGCAGTAGCAACAGCAGGACGCTAGAAGCAGGGGTGAAGTTCCAGGCTGATTGGGCGTTGAAGTTAGCTACGATGTGCTCTATGGTGTGTGGGGTTAAGGGTGACGCGACGACTTCTGTGCAGCTGAAAGAAGCTCTGGCTTCAGACTGGGAGATGTGGCTGGTGGTCTTGATACTGGTTACAGCTGTGGTGGCTGTGTGGGAATGCTTGAAGGGCTCTACAAAGAAGGTTGTGAGCTTGAAGGCGATGAGATCTGGAGAAAAGGCCGAACACCGTGAAGTGTTGGCGTTGCTGGCCAAGGCGAGGAGCCTGGAAGAAGAAGAGAGGCTTCGTCATTTGGCTGCGAAGTATTTTCCAGAGCGTCGTGAAGCTGGACCCTCTACATCAGTGCAGGTGAGAGATGGGGTGACCTCAGTGCGTGTGGGTGGTTTGGGCGAACCTGGTGGAGTTGGACCGAGGGCAAGCAGTGCTCCGGCCAATCGAGTGGTTGCCTTGGATCCTACAGCCCTATTTCCTGAACGTCCTGTACGAAGAGACATTGGGGTTCAGACGCAGGAGATGCTACCGGCTTCGACGCCGACAGTGGTGCAGGTTCCGTTCGATGGGGTCTTGTACCATGGTCCTGGAGGAGATTGCTACCACTGGCATCGTGGATGTTGGGGTCTTCGCAATGTGGACCAGGTGTCGCAGAGGACGCTGTGCAGATGCTGTCGAGAAGCCGGTGGACAGTCACTATATGGGAATGCATGGTGGGCAACAGCGAAGCTTGAGACCTACCAGAACGGGCTGAATGGGCTTGCGAGAAGAGCGAGCTTGTTGGGCCGTGGCGTGGAAGTTGGACGTTGGCCGTGTGAGAAAGGAGGCCAAAGGTTCGACAGAAGATGGTGTATAGGGCCATTGGCCAGTCTTGAGGACCCACCGCTTGGAGAGCATGGGTACCTATGGCAGTCAGTTGGATTGCCAAAACGCCTTGTGAGCCTACCTTGACAGGTGGCTCAAGGAGGGGTGATGAAAGGTGTGGAATGAGACGCACCCGTGGCTTTGGCTTTTGTGGTTCCAGGACATGCCGTAGGCATCGGAACATAAGCAGAAGCAGCACAGACATGCAGGCAACAGGTCGCATGTGACTTTCTGTGGCGTGTTGTGGGGTCGCCCTTTCTGTGGTAGGGTAGGACCGCCTGACAACTGGCCGATGGACTTCGGTGCTGCAGTGTGAGGAAAAGGGAGCCTCTGGTGGTGAAGCTGTGTTCGTACAAGGAGTACAAGCCGAGCCAGAGCCAAGCACAAGACACCAAGCTGCCATGTCGTTTGCTGGACCTCAAGAGCCCCGCGCTCTTGATAGGGTTTAGGGTTTAGGGTTTAGGGTTTAGGGTTTAGGGTTTAGCGTTTAGGGTTTAGGGTTTAGGCTTTAGGGTTTAGCCCTCACCTCACAACGCCAAAACCAGAACCCCGGCGCAAACCCCAGGCCTTCCCTTACAGACCTAAAACTATTCGTTTCTGCGAAACCTTATAAACCCGAAACTTTTCGTTTCTGCGAAAGGAAGCACCTTGGCTACTCGAAGGAGCACTTCACGCTTCATTTCTCACACTGCAAACTTCAGCTGCTCAGGCAACCCTTGGGGTGCAAATCCCCGGGCAGGTCTTCTGCTGGGATGTTTGGTGCGATTGTGATTTAGGGTTCCAGGGTTCAGGGTTTGAGGTCTGAGGTTTAGGGTTTAGGGTTGAGGCCAGTTGAAAGTTGAAAGGCGAATCCTGAATTT